AGTAAAGTTGATTCCCAAGGTTATTGTCTGATACTTCAGTCCTTTTGCAACAGATGGCAAACGAAAGGGATGTTGACAGGAAGCCTTGCAAATATATTCAGAGGGTGGTTGGACGCCACCTGCTCGGCTTGACCCTGCTAATGCTGATGTGGCGGCGTCACAGGTGCCTGTCCCTGCCTGGCATTGGCACATAGTGCATGCTCTGGTGGGGCGGCCATTGATGGAGGTGGCACCACCTAGTCTCAGGTGGCCTATATAAGTTTCCTCCCCACCACAATGTTACTTCCAAGTACATTGTGCTAGGTCAGTAGTTCCCAACTGGTGGTCCATGGACCCCTCCACATAACCCACCCAGGGGTTCCGTGGCACCATTCACTTAACAAAAACTACCATAGAGACATCTTTTTTTAAAAAAAAAGTAGGGTTCCATGGCTTGGCTTTTGAAAAACAGGAGTTCCACAGTACTTAGCTAATTGGGAGCCACTGCCCTAGGTGAAGGGACACAGGTGGCACTGTGGGTTAAACCACAGAGCCTGGGACTTGCTGATCAGAAGGTCGGTGGTTCGAATCCCCACGATGGGGTGAGCTCCTGTTGCTTGGTCCCTGCTCCTGCCAACCTAGCAGTTCGAAAGCACGTCAAAGTGCAAGTAGATAAATAGGTACCGCTCCGGCGGGTAGGTAAACGGCGTTTCCGTGCGCTGCTCTGGTTCGCCAGAAGCAGCTTAGTCATGCTGGCCACCACATGACCCAGAAGCTGTATGCCGGCTCCCTCAGCCAATGAAGCGAGATGAGCGCCGCAACCCCAGAGTCATCCACGACTGGACCTAATGGTCAGGGGTCCCTTTTACCTTTACCTTTGCCCTAGGTGAATCCGTGATGTGACTTGCTCTCATCTTGCTGAGAGCCTGAGGGCCCTGCTCCTGCCTCTCTCCACCTGGCCCAGGGCGGGGCCTGGCAGGTTTTATAAGGACTGATGCTCAGCAGAGAGGGCTTCTTCTTTTAAATTGTTTTTATATCCTTTTAAATTCTTTTGTTTAGTGTTTCAGCTGTTTTTAACTGGGCCGTGAGGGCACTTGGTGGCTTGTGCCCAGGAGGAGAGGAGCGGAGGAGAGCAGAGCAGGGGGAGGCTCAATTACAATGGTTCTAGGTAGGGGGAGATATGGCAGGCTGGGCAAGGGGCACAAGGCACAGGCAGTTATATCAGCCAGCCCTTGGGTCTGCGACTGCTGCAGTTGAATGCCAGGTCGGCCCAGAATAAAATCTCCCTCACCCATGACCTGATTATGGCTGAGGAGGCTGACCTGGCATGTATCACAGAAACCTGGGTGGGTGAACAAGGTGGAGTTGGTCTCACCCAGCTGTGCCCACCTGGGTACTCAGTGCAGCATCAGGCCAGACTTGAGGGTCGGGGAGGGGGAGTTGTTGTGGTCTATAGAGATCCACTCTCTATCTCCAGACTCTCTGTCCAGTTGAGGGGGGGGGATGTGTGTGTGGTTTGGGAGCTGCACGGTCAGGGGAAAAACAATGCTGTCCAGGGTTGTAAAGACTGCGGAGAGAATAATTGGGTGCACTCTTCCCACCTTGGATCAAATCTATGCTTCCAGGTGCCATAAGAAAGCTGCAGAGATAGCGCAGGATAGTGCGCACCCCGGAAATGATCTCTTTCAGCTTCTGCCTTCTGGAAGAAGGTACAGGGTTATAAAAACTAGGACTAGCCACCGGAGAAACAGTTTCTATCTGGTTCTGGAAGACTTCAATGTCCATGCCGAGGCAGCTGGCTCTGGGGCGGCTCAGGACTTCATGGCTGCCATGACATCCATGTAGCTGTCCCAACATGTCACCATCCCAACGCACATGGCAGGCCACACTCTCGACCTTGTTTTCTCGACTGTGCAGGAATAGGGTGATTTGAAGGTGGGAGACATTGGCATCAGTCCCTTGCCATGGTTAGATCACTCCTGTTGAGATTTAGGCTGTCAGCACCTTTTCCTCTCTGCAGAAGCGGGGGACCTATTAGGAAGGTCCGCCCTCGGAGCCTGATGGATCCAGTGGGTTCCAAACGGCTCTGGGGGGGGGGTGTTTCTGGTTGATATGACTGGATATGTTGAAGCCTTATCTGACCTCTGGAACACCCAAATGACTTGGGCTATTGACATGATCGCCCCTAAGCAGCCAGGCTACTCACCGGAGAAAGATGGTTTGAGCTTATTACACCGATCCTGGTCCGACTGCACTGGCTGCCAGTTAGTTTCTGGGCCCAATTAAAAGTGCTGGTTTTGACCTATAAAGCCTTAAACGGCTCAGGACCGCAATACCTCAAGGACCGCCCCTTTCCATATGAACCTACCCAGACCCTGAGATTATCCTCTGAGGCCCTTCTTCGTGTGCCTCCTCCTCAAGAGGTCCGGAGGGTGGCAACACAAGAACAGGGCCTTCTCTGCAGTGGCTCCCCTTCTGTGGAATGCTCTCCCCAGGGAGGAAGTTCGCCTGGCACCTTCATTATACACCTTAGGCGCAAGGCAAAAATGTTCCTTTTTAACCAGGCCTTTGGTTGACCTGATCAACATCCCATACCCTTTTAAAATGTGGCTCTTTAGGGGGGGGTATTATTGGGTTATTGCTGTTATTTTTATTATATATATTGTGGTTTTTATGTAGGCCTTTTCTGTGAACCGCCCTGAGACCTCCGGGAATAGGGCAGTATATAAATTCAATAAATAATAATAATAAAAGTCACCTTCCTATTTCTGTTATTTGCAGAAGTAATAGGATACAATTTGGCAGCACTGTGGTGTCCACCGAACCTTTATTTCTTGCCACTCTTTTAAAGTGAAGGGCAAGGATTTCCTTCTTTCAGTTGCCCTGGATTGCAGACCAATCGCTTCTTCCCATACAAGCCATTGAAAACTAAGACAGGATCTTATTTGCATTTGCCTTGCCTGATGTTCTGCATAGCCCCATGCCGGTTCCAGTTGCTGGTTGCCCAAGCGTGGTGGAACTTCTGAGTGCCATTTATGTGTCAGAAATGTCACCTTTAAATATGACCCGATCATCTGGGGTTCAGAGCCCTGACTCTGAAGTGAACTCTGCAGTTCTGATGCTTTTGGAAGTGCTGGCGACTGACCTCCTGCAATAAAAAATGAGCCCCACTGTGTGAGCTTTTCAGCACTTACGGGGATCTGCTGCCTCCTTGTGACAAAGATGTAAAGGGTTCTTTTTGGAAGCGTTGAAGAAGAAAGCTGCTCAGTATATTCCACTGATACCTTCCCAAATGGATTTTTTTAAAAAAGGCAAAGAAGATAGTTGTAGCAAAAGAGTTAGAGGAGGGTGACACTTCAGCGAAGTCTTTTGACAGGCTCTTGTTAAACTCAGCAGGGTTTGGCTGAAGTGTTAAGGGCTGCTGAATTTTTCACACAGACGGGACGGCCTCAGCCATTGGACAAATATCTGATGTGGGTTACGGTCTGTCTAGCGAGGAGTGTGAGCTCCTGTAAGCCTCCAAGAGCATCTGGTGTGGCTGCACATGTCCTTTCTGCTCCCAACTTCTGCCTCTGAATTTAGAAATGGTGAAAAGGGATTGGGACTGAGGACATGAGCAGAGATACCGTAGGGTTTTGTTTTAGGGAGAGAAACAAAGTTGGTTCTTTGTTCAGGAGGCTTTGATGGGCCGGGATGTTGCATAGCAGAATTCCATTCTCTTGTTTTGGTCTACATTTTATTTTTTGATATTTTCTTTTTGATCGGACAAGAATTCACCTTGCAGAAGAACTTACTTTTGGACAAATATGCCCCAAACATCAAGGCTAGGTGGGGAGGAGTATTAAATAACTTGCATACAACCGCTGCAGGTCTCTCTTTGTATTTTCTGTCTGCTGAATAGATCGTGTCTGTGAAATAGGAAGATTTTAAATGATACTTTATTAATGGACTTGGCATTTGCTTTGGTAAATCATCAGATAATATTTGGGCAAGTAATTTTCTGCCTTTGTTCCAGGTTGTAAACTGGAGCTAGTAGCAGCCCCCTATCTAACTGTAGGGCATGCTGCTTTGAAGGTTATTGAGATAATGGGGGAAGAATGTTTGCTGGCTCTGGGTTGGCAAGTTGCTATAATTAATTGGATCAAAAACAATTACAGAAAGATCTGGATAAAAGTAATGACATATGAAAGCTATTAGATCACCCTTTTCCTTTGTCATAACAGATGTAGAAAAATAATCGAGTACTCTTACAAAACGATTGTGAAACTGGAGAGCCCCATGGGTAGAGTGTTAGATTTGGCTTGGGTTCAAATCCCAACTCAGCTATGGAATCATTAGCTGGCTTTCGGTACATCATTCAGCCTCACTTTCCCATCTGAAAAATGGGATAACGGTGACCTCCCTTGCTTGTTTTTATGAGGATTAATGATAACATTTGGCTGGAATCTACTCTGTGCCTTAGGGAGAGAGTAGGCCTATAAATCTCAGCCAGTGAATAAATCAATATGAACAGGGTTCATTTTCTAGTTCACTTGGTCTTATAAATAAGACGTTACCTGTGATTAGAAAGGAAACAGAACAAACATTCCTTATTTAAAATCCCTTTTGCATGTTTTCACACATTGCCGTTCCGTTTCCCTTGCTGGGTCACAGTGAGATCTGCATTAGCAGGGCCTTCTGTCATCACCGTTGAGTGATAACTTGATTGAATTATGTTGACGTTCTCAAGTGTGAAGGCAGGTGATATGGTCTCATTCTGGCTTTGTCATTCACCCTTCGCAGCGGCACATCTTGCTTCTCTCTCCCCCCTCCCCCCCCAAATGCCTGCTGCGCACCACCTTACAAGACAGAGACATGAATCTTAATGTTGCCAAGCACTTTATGTGCCATTAGTATCTGTTGACAGAAGTTCATGAGAGTGCAATGCTATTTTTGTTGGTCTAGCTGTCGAATTCTCCCGCATCTCAAATCAAAAGGAAATAAGTGTTGTTGTTTTTTTTCCCCTGTTTCCTCCATTTCAGCTGTTTCTTGTCTCTGCTCCTTGTGGCCGCTGTGGTTTGGAAGATTAAGCAGAGCTGCTGGGCGTCGCGGCGGAGAGAGGTGGGTCAAAATGACAGAATTACTGCCTTCTTGCTGCGACCTGTGAGCTTTTGTGTCTGCTTCTTGCATTCGTTCTCCTAAGAGGTGCCAAGCACACAACTGAGCCAGAAGCCTTGCTTACTGACCGAGGGCTCTGGAAGCCCTCTTGAAATTCCCTATGTTCTGTAGAAGGCGGCAGAGAGGCATCTGTCTCCTTTTGAGTTAGCTCGATGGAAGGCAGAAACGGCGAGAGACGCACGTTGCTTTTGCAAAAGCCCTGCTGCAAATGTTAAAAAGAAAAAGAGGGCCTGGCCCTTCTCCTCTTCCTCCTAGTTCCCTGGCACCATGTGGGGTGTGTGGAAGAGACCAGATATTGTTTCATCTTGTTTCATCCTGCATTGCAGGGGGTTGGACTAGATGACCCTTGGATTCCCTTCCAATTCTATGATTCTGTGTGCAGAATTTGGTGGCAGCCAGGAAGCAGCATGGCTCCCCTCTCTGCTTCCCCAAGCCAGCATGAATGCACCACACTCCGTGGCAAGCTGCCCTTGCGCCTCACCTGGAAGCCCCAGCTGGTGCGGAATGCAATGGCTAGACTACTGATGGGAGCAGAGGTCCAGCAACTTGCTAAAACATCTGCGCCGGCTGCTCATATGCTAATGGACCTGGTTGAAGGTTATTGCACTGATATACATAGCCCCGAACAACTTGGACCCAGTATACTTTTACGGACCACCTGAACCCTTACCTGAGACCTTATAATCCCATATTAATCCCTGAATTCATTTGGAGGAGAACAGATGTTCCACATGTTACAGAGCCCTCATTGGCCTCAACTGGAGGTAAAATACATGTCCAATAGATATTTAGTAGGCACCCTCGCTTTTGACTTTCAAATGTCTCTTGAACACTTTTTTCTTCTTCTTCTTCTCAATGTGACAGCCCGTTATTTGCTTTATTCTTGATGGTGCTTTGCGCCTTGTCATTCTTCACCACCCCCATCTTTTATGATGTGCTAATATTTAGAAATACTAAAAATACAGATCCTTGCCTTCCCTGAAGCCCCTCAGAAAGTAAGATGGAGCCCTGCCCCTCCCAGGGCTCTGTTCATGCCAGAAGACTTCAGGGTAAGTTTATTCAGCAGACCCAGTGAAATTGATGAACATGTCTTAGTTATGCCCAGTCAAAACAAAAAAAATTCCTTCCAGTAGCACCTTAAAGACCACCTTAAAGACTTAGTTATGCCCAGTTATTTCAGTGGGTCTGCTGTAAGTAAAAATTAGCTGAATGCCACCAAGAGTTTCAAATAAGATGCAAGAGGAGTAGTGGTTTCTCGTAAAGAAAGTTAATAATGGTATTTCAGCAGTGAGGCAAGCAATAATAATTGTTATAGGCCCAAGAGAGGTCATTTGTTTTCTGTAAGTAGTTTGAAAAGGCTCACGCATAGACCTTATTGGGCAAACTATTCTTTCCTGAGCTTTGACTACCTTTCCCTATCTAGTCCATCTAACATATATTGACATGAGCAGTGACATTTACTCTGGAGCTTGAGTGTTTAAAATGCGCAAGTCCTTCTTGCATATGACATGTATTTCCTCCTAGGAGTTGTACACTTGTGTGCTTTATGTCATCTGCTCTGTCCTGCTCAAAAGGCTTGCATGCAACCATGCCCATCCTTAATCAGGACCTAACTTTGAAAATTCAGAGACCTCAACAGGTATTTTTAAGTATAGTAGGGAGGACTTAATTGTGACATAAATTGGCTGAATTTGACAGTGTCAACCTATACCTCACATGTTCCTTTTCAAAACACTTGGGCCGAAGTGAAGGAAGGTTGGGAGGAAGGTTGCAAATGTTTTTAGATTACCTGTTATCGTGAATGGGCAACACAGAGCTTTTACACACACACACACACACACACACACACACACACACACACACACACACTAGTTTGGAACCTGAGCACAGAGTGATTAAAAACAGATACAATTTTTAAAGAAGATAAACAGACATACAAAGCAGAATTTAAAGTTGAGGCATGCCCTTACTGTACCACATCCAGAAGAAGAATACCTCTGAATAGTTGCAGTTGCCAGGGGGCCAACAGAGGACGAGTGCTATAGCACTCAAGGCCTGCTTGTGGATTTCTCAGAGGCCTCCTATGGACCACTGTGGGAAATGGGATGATGGGCCAGATAGGTTTTTGGTCTGATGCAGCAGGGCACCAGCAGCAGGAGACAGACTTTGGGGATAAATGGCCATTGTTTTTCTCTTTCCCATCTTGACAAGAGTATAAAAAGCAAAGTGAAGGCTTCCTGGAGTTTTTCCTAAATAAAATGTTAATCAGGGTTTATGTTGGATGTAGTCTGAGAAATACCGCATTCTGCCTGGAGCCAAGTGAGGCATTTAATGATGGCTTAAATGGAAAATGTCACTGGTGTGAAGTTATCCTCTGGGCATACTTTTTTTTTTTGAAAGTTGCAGAGAGGATCAGCTGGTATCTTATCTTTCTCACAGTTAGGTTTCTCATACTTGGTTTGCACGCTTTAATTTCAAATGATAGACAACTTGTCTGATTTCTAACAAACTGTCCTAAAACTTTATACGGAAGGGATCCTCATAACTTAATAGTGTTGAAGAGTTGCTGTCCAGTGGCGACTTCTTTCTGACCCGAGTTATGTATCAGGTCACCTGCTGTCCCTGCTCAACCCCAAAATGACGACTGAGGTCATAACCGCTTCCTATGGGCTGAATTGAGTTAATTCCTTTCCCATCTCCCTGCCTATTGAGATCAAGCAGACTTCACTGTACTCTCTTTGGTGCCTGCCGAAAACATTCCTGTTTAGATAAGCCTACCCAGATGCTTAGAAAGTATTTTATATTTTGTATGTTTTAAAGCATGCTTGTGATTTTTTCTCGATTTTATTGTTTTAACTTTTTGCAATCCGCTTTGAGGTTTGTTTTTTGCAATCAAGCGGAGTAGAAATTTTGTGTAATAAATAACAAGTAAATCTAAGAAGCCCCCTATATTGTTGCTGGTATGCTAGGAGAGGGATAGATATATGGAAGATAGGGCAGTGACCTATTTGGGGTCCTTATGACCTAGAAGGGAAAGTAGAAGCTCACTTTTGCTGGTTTTGGGAGCAACAGAGCTTTCCCAGGCCTCTGGAGTGTTGAAGGACTATGTGATAGGAATGTTGAGTAAGGTTGTTGCAGGCTTGTGCTATTTCTAACAGCTTGAAAAATACTGCAGAAAAATATAGAATGTTATGCTTTTTAGGGGGGGGAATATTGTTAAAACATTACTTATAGTTGCAATAACTTCTTGTACCTGGCCAGTAGAACATGATGCAAAACACTGAAAGCAGAAGATTTTGCTCACTCTCAGGTGAGCTGGGACAGCTCCGTCTGTAGATCATGGGGCTCTTAATCTGAAGGTTGTGGGTTCGAGCCCCACATTGGGCAAAAGATTCCTGTATTGCAGGGGGTTGGACTAGATGACGCTTGTGGTCCCTGCCAACTCTGTGGCGACCAGTGTTATGACCATGCGATCCTGCTATCCTCCTCTGATGCAGAGGACTCTAGCTGTGGTCCTAGCAGGGCCACAGTCTCCCGTGTTCTTCAGGAATCTGCAAGTGCTTAAGCAGCCGGGGTCCCTTTAAAGTCCAGCCTTTCTCCACCTGTGGGTCCCCAGATGTTGTTGAACTACAACTCCCCATCACCCCTAGCTAGCAAGGCCAGAGATCAGGGATGATGGGAGTTGTAGTCCAACAACATCTGGGGACCCGCAGGTTGAGAACCGCTGCAAGAAGCTTCTCACACGGAAGGTGGAGCTAGCAACTGAGAAAGAACTGCAGCTCCTATTTAAGGCCCAGTCAGAAGATGACTGCTGCTGAAGCAACATCTAAGCTCTGCTCTTAATGGAGTCTCCAGCCTGAGTCCTGCAGGGAGCTCTCCAAGGTGCCATTAAAATCCATTCCCCATTTCCATACTACTCAGGCCATTGCTCAAAACAGAACAACCAAGAGCATCTGCCCAATGAGTGTAAAGCACATTTGTTTCAATCTTTCCTCCACAAATTAAAAGCCAAACCAATCCTGAAACCTAATATAGCCAATGTAACTCCCTACTTAACCTAGCCCGAATACGGTGGTGATGAGGAGCATTTATTCATAACTGAATGAGAGTAGGATATTGTAAAGCATTTGGCAGGGGTTTAGACCTATCAGTATATTATCTGAAGTAACATTTGGGCAACTTGGCAAGGCGGCATTAGAGTCTGCGTGACACTGATCTACTAAAGGGAAGTGAGTGGTTCGTAAATTCGTACCCTTTTCTCTCTCTCCACTGAGCACCGTAACGAAATGGCTTTCAGGCGCTGTATTTTGCTGGTGGAGGAAATGGAAACAAGAAAGAATGCTTGTTCGGGGCTCGGAATGATACTGAAAGACAGATAAAATTGCTCCTTTTATTACATGACTTTTGGAAAGTGATAGGAAACATGAAGGCGGTGGTAGAGAATAATGCTTGAAATAAAACCGCAATGGCATCATAAAGAGTACATCTGTCTACAACCAAGTCTTAATATGTATTTTTTGCTCCCTTTCAACCTCCTTTCCCTTTTTTTACATGCCTTTGGGATTCCTGTAGTCAAGCTGTGAGCCACAATCCAAGGCTTAAACCTCGGATTCTGAATCAGCTTGGGCAGGGTACGATGGAGGGCATTTATCCAAGTCTCAAAACAGTAGACTGTCCAGTCAAAATGCTATACTATACCTGTGTAGATAGTCTGAAAAGAGAGTGATTTGCTTTCATTTATTTTAAATATTTATCTGCCACCTTCCAATTAATAATCTAAAATGGTTTATCAGTAAAAATTGACGCAACCGAAACATATACTGAAATATCTCTCTCTCTGAGATTTGGCACTTTCCTTTTTTCTGGGTTATGCTTGAGAGAAAAGGCTAAATTTAGTGTTTGTTTTAATTATGGCACTAATGTCCATTATTGCTTGGTTTCAG